CTGTGCGCAGCAGGAAGCTGCCCAGGCTGTCCAGAACAAAATACCAGCCAAGAGATAAATTTCACATGCTGCATAATGACACTCATGATGAAGATCCCTGAGAGTTAATACAGCTCTTTGTGAAGAGTTACTAGTCTGAGTCTCAAAAGCAACACAACTTCATCAGTATGGAGCTGTGCCCTAACAATAACCCTTATCTTTCAGCAGTACTGACAGAGCAGCTTAGCAACCAGCAGTCAGAAGAAGGAAGCTCATCTCTAACATCATCATTTTGGCCTGAAGGGATATACCCTAGGTTTTTTAAGTTTTCCAGCAATGACCTTTTCTTGGAGACAGATGCTCAAGCCTGTCATTCTATAAAATACTGTAAGGATGGGAGAGACGGCCTCCTTTTATTTGATGACATCAAGTGTCCACAAGCACCATGTGAAACCCAGCTTAAAAGTCCCTCTTCCACACTGGGTTTTGGATCGCCATTGCTGCCCTGTGCCTTCCCTACCTTTGCCTAATACAGGCAAGGGTCTTTCATCGGCAACACTGTAGCCTTGCCTCTCTTGCCCTTTCACCCCACCCCGCTGGTGGTGCCTTCCAGAGTCTCTGGGGCAGTAGATGTTTCCTTTCTTGTCCTCATGCTCACCATCTTGTTATGCTCACCATCTGGCGGTATCTACCAACCCTCAGAGCATTGCTATGGTAGGTTCTTAAGGGAAATGACTGCCACTGGCGTGAGAACCACCCATCCTTTCTCCTCTTCTCCTGACTGTAGCTTTTCATTTACATTAGAGGGATCCTACAATATCTTGTAACATCTCAACAACCAATTAGCACACAACATCATCCACTGACCAAAGTGTGCTCCAATTAATACTACTAATATCATAAGCATGAAGAAGCCCATAAGAAGTCTGGGAGACTCTTGGTGAAAAACTACAGTTAATACAGTTAGTACAGGAAAAGTATTATGTGGGAGAGAACCAGCTGCTGCACTTAAGAGGACGCCCAAGACATGATGTTCATCCAGCCTGCCTGTCACTTCTATTCCCACCCTGCCACTAGGAGAGTTTTCTCTTTCCCATTCTTCTGTATTTCTTTGTTTATTTAGACATAATTTTCACCATTATGTGCCATCTGCTATGCCACGCACTAATAAATCTTCCCACACGTGAACTTGTCTCAACTTCCTTCGTTCAAAAACACCTGTGAGAGCAAATCTTTCATCACTACGCTGCAGGATGTTCTTGGACAGATCCCTCTCACTTTCCCCACGTGAAGCTGTTCCACTGTCTTTCAAAAACTTCAAAATTCTCTCAATCATGAAAAGAGAGGCTCTAAAATCCCATCATAAGCACCATGATTATTTTTAAACAGGAAAACAAACTGGATTTTTTTCCAAGCTCTTGCAATTACCCACATCACTCGTATGTTATTAATATTTGAAGTTATTTGCAGCACCTGGCTCAGTATGTTGCTAGCAGGAACAAAACACAATGAGGCTGACATAAATCATGCTGCTCAAATAGTAGACCAAATCTAAGCCTGCACCTGACTAAATCATTAACCTGGCATGTTGTCCTCATGCGGCCTTAACTCGTTCTGCCACACATGTCCTCCCCTACCACAAAAAGGATGGGCGTGGAATCCTTAGTGTTTATTATCTGGATCTTCAAAGCTTAATTTCTGATACCTTCTGGCGCTCTCGGATTCCACCTTGCATGGTGGAAAATCAGTGGAGTGCAGGGATTGAACACACACAACATCTTAAGATAACAACATATATGAGAAGCAAACCAGAGACACCAATGTTCCCTGAATGGCATGTCTCCCAGACAGGCAAAATGCCCATGCTTGAGTATCCAACAGAAAGCAACAAAAGCAACCAAAACATTCCCAAGGGAAGGTCCACCCAGAAACCTAACAGAGACAACAGGGTGGAGTGTCAGATGATGGCAGATGTCCCACTTTCTCCCTACCATCACTTGAGTCATTTCCCTTCACTGCTGCCCATTCCCTATTTATTCCTCTTCAAATCTGGCTCCTATGACACTTTCCTTATCTAATGTCTCTATTCTCTTAAAAACTGTTTTCATTTCTATTTTCTGTTTGTTTGGGGTTTGTTTGGTTCCTTGGGGTGTGGGTTTCTGTTTGTTTTGTTTGTTCTTTTTTTTTGGTTGGGTTTTATTTTAAATTTTCAGGAGGATTTCAAATACTCAGCAGCTCCTAGGTTCTCTGATAATGTTTCCTTCTTTTTTTACCAAAACAAAACCAGACAACCCAACTAATCTCCCTTGACTCTGAGAGGAGTAGACTGCAACAACATAGCTTCTTTCACTCCATCATTCATAGAATCATGGAATAGTTTGGGTTCAAAAGGACCTTAAGATCATCTAGTTCCAACCCCCCTGCCACGAGCAGGGACACCTCGCACTAAACTATGTCGCCCAGGGCCTCTGTGCTAAATACTAGTTCTATCTGACGGGTCTGCTTATTCCCAACTGCCTTGCACCCTTCTCTGCCCCAGCTCTTGGGAACTATTACCTGGGGAGCAGAGAGAGAGGGCTTGTAACTCCCCAGGAGATCAAGATAAAGAGCCACAGAAAGGGCTATAGGCTCCACTGTGTGACAAAGCTTCTTTAGGCCTTGCTAATATAACCCTTCTGAATCCTCCCTAATCCTTCTCCAAACCCATTCATCACTTTTCCCCATAATCACCAAGCCCCTTCCCATGCTGCAGCTCACTTTCTATCCCTTTCTTAGGACTTTCTACAAGAACACTATGTATGTATTTTCTTTTCTACAATAATGTCTTAATTTTCTGCTCTAGTCATATTACATGCAACACTATTCTCAATGCCATCCCATACATCCATGAAACAGAACTCTGGAAAAAGAATTTATTTT